CTGCAGATAACAGTCAGCTGAAGTGGCCTGCAGTACTGCACTCTAACCACTGCGCCACCTCGGCTCTCTCAATTTAATTTAATCAGTTGCATTCTTAGGAAAATCGTCTCGAATATTCCACTTTTTCTGCCTCCTGGACCACTCAGTGTCTGCCCCCCATTTTTTCCTAACTAAAAAAATCCCCCCTCAAACTCCGTGCTGAGTTTTCTACCTTTTCCCCAAAAATTAAAGAGTGTGAAAAATCCTTCGCATCCGGTTGGTTGACCCAATAAGGAAGGCCTGGACCAATGAAATTCAGCTTCTCTTCCCTTGGACATCCCCTCTCTCTCCTGCAATCCCATTTACGCAGGTGGTCCTCGATTCACAACCACAACGGAGTCCTCAGAATTCTGCCGCCAAGTGAGACATTGGCCCCATTTTTACCACCTTTCTTGCCACCGCTGTTAAGTGAATCACTGCGGTCGGTAAGTTAGCCACACGGCTGTTAAGTGAATCGGGCTTCTCCGCTGACTTGGCTGGTCGGGAGGTCGCAAAAGGGGATCACGTGGCCCTGGGACATTACGACGGTCGTAAGTGTGAGCCGGCTGCCAAGCAATTTTGATCTCTCGGCCATGGGGACGCTGCGAAGGCAGTTAAGTGCGAAAAATGCCCGTAAGTCACTTTTCCCAGTGCTGTTGTAACTTTGGACGGTCACAAAGTGAACTATTGTACGTCGAGAACTCTCTCTTCAGCGGAAAAGGAAGCTGCATTTTTATCATGCTGTTTGGAGTTGCTAGGATGCTTAATTTAATCACTAGATGCGCCCTGATTGGCTGGCTAGATCTGGTAGTCCTTGGCTTACGGTGGTGGTTCATTTAGTGACCAAAGTTATGATGTCACTGAAAAAAAATGACTTATGACCATTATTCACACAACCGTAGCGGCATCCCCATGGTCGCGGGATCAGAAGCCAGGCTTCCTTGGGCACTGACTCGTATTTATGACGGTAAGTGTTCCCTTTTGCGACCTGACGACGATCAAAGTCCACAGGGGAAGCCGGATTCACTTAACAACCATTTACTAACTTAACAGCAGTGATTCGCTTTCCCTGTGCCCTTGATTGGCTTCACCTGGGGGGGAGGGGAGGGTGGTGGTGGTCCCAGGTGTAGGAAAGGAGAAAAGGGACGAGAGGACGGATCCAGCCCATCGCCGGAGGCAAACCCTTCCGGCTGGCGGGTTTCCCTCACTCGGTGCTAGGGACGTCGTAGCGATATTTGGAAATCGTACAGTTGGCCAGCCTGCCGTAGACGGTGGGGAGGATGTAATGGTGGTATTTGCGGAAGCCCACCCCTTCGTACATCGCCCGGGCTTCGTGCTGGACCATGAGGGTGTTCAACACCACGGAAGAATAGCCGTGCTCCCGGGCGAAAGCGATCACAGTCTTGCAAAGAGCTTTGGCGATGCCGAATCCCCGATAGTCCTTCCGGACAGACATTCTCTTCAGCATGAGTTCGTCCGGCTGTTCTTCGGAGGGCCTGGCCCCCACGGTGGCCACCACACATTCGTCCGCCTCGGCCACCCAAAAGCAGGAGCCTTTGCTGCCCAGGTAGGTGGCCTGGATGTCCAGCAGGTCCTTCTGGAGGCAGTGGTCAATATACATCGACCAGATGTAACCCAGGAGTTGCCGGCCAACAGCCAACAGCAAGGTGATAGCCAGGATGGGTAGGAGCAAGGACTTGGAGCTGGTCAGCAGGAGGCTGAAGGTGCAGCCCAGGATCAGAATGACCCAAGGCTGCTTCAGCATGTGGAGGCACAGGGTGGGCACGTACTCGCTCATCCCCGTGGCGAATAAGTCCCGCACGGTCTCGTAGTCCCCAGGACAGTACTCGCGGATGTGGTAAGACACCATGTTGCGCCAGGCAGGGGTGAGTCAAGAGCGGCAAGGAGAATCCGGAGACCCCTTGATTTTAAAAAAAAACCAAAATCAAAAGAAAGGCGGTTAATGGAGAAGACAATGAAGCATCTCTCTTCTCTGGTATAAACTCACAAGATTCATTTTTCTCGCCATAAACATGTATACGCCCGAACTACAATAGAATACAATAGCAGAGTTGGAAGGGACCTTGGAGGTCTTCTAGTCCAACCCCCTGCCTAGGCAGGAAACCCTATACCGTTTCAGACAAACCCAACGTCATCTTAAAGACTTGCAGTGTTGGGGCATTCCCAACTTCTGGAGGCAATTTCTGTTCCACTGATTAATTGTTCTCACTGTCGGGAAATGT